AACAGCAGCAGCAATTCAGCAGCAGCGTAGCAGATCTGTTCCGCCAAGACCAAATACATTAACATTGTCATATCCATCACCAAGCTAAAATCTTCCGAGAGTTGTCATGATTAAAATAGATATAAAAGGACTGATTTACTTTTTTGTGCAATGGAACAGTTACAGTTTTTTAAAGTTTTTGTTTGTTTGTTTGTTGTTGTTGTTGTTTTGGTTATGTGAACCTTAAGGGAACATTCCATTTCATAAATTTGCAAACATTATAGGAAATGTTACTTTTTAACTTTCTGAAACAAGTCCAACTAATGTCCAACTAAAACATATCAAGAAAAAAAGTTCCAAGAACAAAGTATTATAACATTTTTGTGCTAATGATTTAAGAACATAATAAAGGCCCGATAACTTCCCAGCGAATAAAATATGTCCTAAGAACGTTTAGCTAACATTTCATTAAGTTATGAAAAACTTCTTTCTGATTGTTCTCTGAACATTCAAAACGTTCAGTATTTTAAATGTTTTAAACACATTTTTTTTCTTGGTTATATGAACATTAAGGGAGCAGCCAAACAATATGGAATGCTAGTTTTGAAACAAGAAGTAAAAAACGTTAGATGAAATTCAAACTTAAACATTTCAGAAATAAAATGTTCCATGAACGATGTATAAATAATGTTTTTGTGCTAACGTTTTCAGAACATTATTAAAGACAGAGTAACTCTGAAAAACGTTCTATTACCATCACTAGAAGATTGTTTGTTCATAACTTTGATAGAACCTTGCCAGAATGTTCTGAAAACGTTCCTTGTTTGCTGGTTTGGTGGTGCAAAATTATTTGTACATTTTCATATAATCTGCTTACGGTCCAGTGATAGTTATGTTTAGAAGCGAACCTTCATGCTTCAATTCACCTTCATGCAACAATTCACATTGAATTCATACAAAATCGCCACCTCATTTTCTGGTAATTCAGGTTGGTAATTCTGCACCTTCTCTTGTGGCCCATTTGCACAAATCATGCTGGCCAGGTGTAGCTGCACATTTGCCTGAATACGCAATTCCTTACAGCAGGAATCTAGAAAAACTTGCCAAGTCATTGTTTTTATTAGTTTTATTCATGTAAGATGCTTCCAGAGCATAGCAAGGGGCTTGGGAAGTCATTAGAAGCTTATGGCACAATTAAACGAGCATAAAAGTCAGTGCAGGTATTTCCCTAGTGACTGCTGTAACCTGGAAACTGGTTTCCCTAGGGCGGGACCAGGACGCTCGTGAGACGAGCTGCTATCCGACACCTGTCGCTTTGTTTTGTTTGCAAGACTCAGGAACAAGGGAGCTGGGAGGGCAAGTAGATGCGTCACTATTCTTCGGTTTCAGCTATCATTGAACTATGAGGTAGACAAGGAAAGAGCAAATAGAGAGGCGAGGGATACAGAGCGAAGAGTGATGAGGCCAGTAATTTGCTGATCTTTGAAACTGAGGCGATGAGACTGCCTCTAACAATACTGCAGCAGGACAGAGATAGGCTCAGCTTTGATCTCTCTGACTCTCTGTTTGTTTCATCGGTCACCTGAGTGAGCAGGACACTCTCTTTCACTTTTACATTCAACCTGCTACTTAAGCCTTTCATACTAAATACACATATATGGTCTAATTGTGCATGATTCAATGATGGACATTATTCCACAGAAAAAAAAAGATGTTTGTTTACTTCCAGTTAAATCCTATCTTACTTTTCCTTGTTGAATATCCTATCTCTAACAATACTGCAGCAGGACAGAGATAGGCTCATTTAGACACACACACCTACACACTCCCACACACATACATGTTCACACGCAAAATGATGCAAAATAATGAACTGCTGAGGATACGGCGTTAAAATCAGCTTTTAAAAGGATTTCTATCATAGCACAATTGAGAAGAAGGATCCACTCTGGACTGAGATACACTGTTAAATGAACATGAAGACTGGGAAGAAATCATTCATAGGTAGGAACTTTTTCTAGTAAAAACTAACCAGTATTATCCTAGATGTAACAAAGTTTGTCAGTTTTACTGGAACACTTTACCCTAAGGTTTTGATTTGTTAACATTAGGTTAGTTTATGCAAATTAACAATGAAACATACTTATAAAGCCTGTATTAATCTTAGTTTATGCTCATTTCAACATAAAATCTGTAGGATATCTGTTAATAATATTATTTAATGGACCTGAGCTTACATGAACTAACAACGAAGTTGCATTTTAATAACTAACATTAACAAAGATTACAGAAATACTGTACCAAATGTATTGCTCATTGTTAGTTAATACATGTTAAGTAATGAGGCCTTATTGTAAAGTGTTACCATTTACCTTTATGTGTACAGAGTACTGCTCTATCTTGTTTAACTCTGTGAAATGTAACTTTCAAATCCCCCGTTTTGTGAGATTCATCAATATTGATTCTTTAATTAAAAGAGCTTCATGTACTCTGGAGACATTGAGTAAATTTCAGAACTGAAAATGTCCTTTTTGGTTAAAGAGATTACTTACTGAAACTGAGCAGCAGAAACATCTTCTGAACTGCATCTGTGTGACGTGAAACATGAATACTTCAACACATCATCAACCTATTTTAGTAGACGCACAGTTTATTTACAAGGGTCAGAAAAAAGTGGGTAATGGTCATAAAAAATTAAAGAAAACTACTTGCTGTCGCAAATGAAGGATTGTGATGCCATGCACCATCTGCTTATGCTGGTTTTGCAACCCTGGTAATGTGGGACAAGTCTAAATAAAGTTTAAAGATACCATGTTTAACATGAAACAAACATCAATATTACATGAACAATATTTATAATGTTAAAAATATACTATATGGGAAACAGGGTGACAGTAACAGGGTTGATGGTCTAAATTAAGCTGTCACTCAATAGTTGGTATGGGACCAAACCTGTTTATATTTATTTAAAATATATATATATTAAATGGAAGAACAATATTTACAATCACTTGTGTAACAGGGTTGAATATCTTGACAAATTCAGCGAACACCTCATTATTTAAAAGAAACGAGATCATTTACTTCTGATCATGTTGTAGAAAAGATGTCACAATTTTAAAGTTACTAATTTGAGTGAAAATGAGAGAAAATCATGTGGTAATAAGTCAAATTTAGGACACAATATTGTGGCTTTGGCAATTAACAAACGTTAATAATCAGCAGGTAATGTATTATGATGCTGATTGTAATTGTTGGATCCAAGTGAAAAGATAAAACCTCTGAGATACACAAACAAATTCCCATCTAAAAGTCTGCGTGAACCACAAGTTGTGATTGATTTCAGTATTATGATTTATTTCTGAGGGAAACTGAATATTCAATAGAGGCTGGGGCTTGATTTTAGGGCTCCTGCTCTACAGAAGAAATGACATTCCAGAGGAGAATCTTTTGACCAAAATTTATGAAGACAAACGGTTATGTGGAAACATGGGCAGGTTAGTGGGGGAAGGAAGAGACAAGACAAACAGAGAGAAGGTTATAAAGCTGAACCAGTCACTAGTCATCTGATCTAGGTAAAGGAATGGCAGTATTTGTATTTCTCTGTGCTAGTCTCAGAATAAATGAATGAATGAATGGATAAATAAATAAATAAATAACAATTTTACAAACAACATAATCAAACGGAAATTGCTCTTTTAGTACATTCTTTCCTTTTTAAAGTTTTTAAAATTTAATTTTGGGCAGGTTATTAGGTTATGTTGCAGTGTATAAAGTCATCAGTGATCTGTATTTTTGACGTTTTTTCATAGAAGAGAAATTAATTTTACAATTGGACCCTTCTCTTTTAGTAAATTCTTTCCTTTTTTTAAGTTTAGTTGTTCATTGTTAGTTCATGTTAATTCACAGTGCATTAACTAATGTTAACAAGCACAACTTTGGATTTTAATAATGCATTAATGTTCATTTCAAAATTTACTAATGCATTATTAAAATCCAAAGTTGTGCTTGTTAACATTAGTTAATGCACTGTGAATTAACATGAACTAACAATGAACAACTGTATTTTCATTAACTAACATTAACAAAGATTAATAAATACTGTAATAAATGTATTTTCATTGTTTGTTCATGTTAGTTAATACATTAAATTAACTAATGGAACCTTATTGAAAGTGTTACCGAAAAATGAATAAAAATGGTAAAAATGTTAATGTAACTAAAAATAGTATATGGGTTATACCTTAGTTATATATATTTATACGGGTTATACCTTAGTTGGGCCCCCCTTTTTACAGTTGCCCCCCTTGATGTGATGATGTCTAACCTGGCAAAATCTGTACTAAAAGACAGGATGGCAAGGACGGCATCGTATTATGGCACACTTATATAATTTACAGGGTCAGTGGACCAAATTTGAAGGCTGAAAAATAAATGATGTGGCTCAGAGTATCGGTTTATGTAAGCCGTAATGCCGCGCAGCCTCACACCCTTGACCTGGTTGGATGGCTTGAACGCTGTGGCTTGCTCACAGACGAGAATCTGGTAAAACACAGGCCTTAACAGATTAATAATGTGCGCCATTATCGGAAATGCTAGACTCTAAGTAACAGGGTGAATATTTTAGCACATCTGTTCAGCACAGGAAGGTCTTCCGTTAACAGAGACCTTAATCTCAGGTACATGATCCTACAGCCCCGCATGCTTTTCATTTCTCATCTGTCACTGCTTCACGTTCTTCCTCATCATTACTGGCAAGGATTAGAGGTTAATCTGCTACACAACGATGAGATTAGCAGCCAGCTGTGTGGTAATTTTTCCAATGATAGAAAAAGTCCCAGCGTTTAATCAGGCTCGCATGAATGGGAGCGCTTCAGTTTCCCCGCGCATCGCCCTCTACCGGCGGAACGGAGATTCGAGGGGCCCCGGGACGTCACACTTCGCAAGTGTCCTCGGCTACTCGGAGTGATGTCAGAACCTCGCCTCCACACCCACGTGTCCCGTATAAAAATACCAGTGCAGGGCTGGCGGGGGAAGACAGTAGCGCTCACCACCCGACAGCCCGGCATCAGAACCCAGTAGTGCGCTTGCTGCTGGGAGATCGGCGCTTTGCAATAACATAAAGGCTTAACCGAAGGATCACTACATTCCTCCTGTGGACTTGTACTTATAATAATAGTGATGGCAGTTACTCAGGCTGGCTCTGACTTGACATACTGCAAGATGCGGGGGATCGTGTCCGTTCTTACCGGTACGTCTCAACACATTTGAGTTGTTTTGGTGTCTATAATAGATTTCGTTAATTATATGCTTTTGGGAAAAGGATGCAATATATCAAATATGAAAAAAAAAAAAATGTAATGAGAGAAATCGATGTCTTAGTCAGCGTTTTTGTGTTTGTACAGTCAAATTTAAGTATGTTTTATTATTATTGTTATTATTAGGCTATTATTATCATTATTATGCTAATAGCATTTTTTTATATCCTTCATACAAAATTCACGATGAAAAATATGGAATTTGTTCGGGGTTAAACATTTTTTACATTGTTTTATTAAATTACGTGGTTCCATGAGAGTTGTAGAAATGATGCATGATCGTTCTTGATAAATAGCAGATATCTGTACAGCTACATACAGTGAGCAATGCGGTGTGTTGTGTAACACTGACAGTTCTTGACATTCAACCATTCCACGCGGATCCTCTGAATCACAGCATATATAAAACACGTTTTCTGACATAGACTTGACGTGCGAATAGTCATTTTACCGAGAGAGAGAGAAGATTTCGAAGGGTTCCCCATCACAGATGGTTGATGGTTCATTCAGATCAGATGCTGGGTGTTAGTGACGTCAGCTGTGGATTTCCTTCTGACGTCAATGTTTGTTTTTTATTTCAGCTTTTATTAAAGAAAGGAAGATGGGTTTAAACGACTTCATCCAGAAGCTTGTTTCTAGCCCTCCCATTTGTCAACAGTAAGTATCCCAATATTTAATAATATGAGCATGGAAATAAACAATTGCATGATGCTTTTACAATTACAAGTAGATGTGTGACCGAAAAAGGCATGATCAACAAATATGAGCATAGATGATTTCTGTGTTTCAAAATCAGCAAGAAAGTGGTTCTGGAAAATCCCAGAATTCTTTCATAAAGGCAACTCTGTGACCTGTAGTGTAGTTATAATACACCTTCTTTGAGGTGACTGTACTAGAGGATGTAATCCCATCATCTGAGTTTAGCTGTACATTCTGCTAATTGTGCGGGTTAATCTGTACCGGCGAGATAAAGCCAAGCACCAGAATAGTGCTCCACGAAAAGCAGCTGTTCAGGCCGCTGCTTGGCCACAGTAAGAAAATCCCTAATGTTCCCTAGACGAGGATAAGGGCCTAATTCAATTAAGCAAGGCCCATTTGGTCTTTAGAGTCATTCAGGTCGGAGCAGCGGAAAATTTCTCACCGCGTCATCTCTACCCTTCCTATGCTCCACAATATTCATTCAAAGAGGATGTTAAGGTTGTGTAAAAGGTTGACATTTAAGCTCTCAATAGTCTAAGAGTCATCATTTTGGGCAGGGAGGGAGTTTTTATGAAGGTTTCAATAAAATATTATTTGATCTGTATTTTAAGTAGATGCATCTAATCTAATAGTCTTGCACTAATAACAGGTGTCTTGTCAGGTCAAAAAGACATTTTGAATTTCTAACATACCTGAAACGGGCCCTCATAAACTTCACCAACACTGCCATCTATCTGCCTGCTAAGGCATTACAATAAATAATTAATTTAAAGGAATGTTCTGGGCTGTTTCTCAAAAGCTAAGTTGAGAGACCATTGGTGGCATTGGGTCTATGGTCTACTTAGGCTTGCGATGCTTTTGGGAAACACAGCCCTGGATTAAACACACACTGTACATTTTGACTAAACAAATGCACTTTTTGGAACTATGTTGGGCTGGGTCGTATGTTTGGTCGTTGCATAATCATGGTCCAATAGGCCGTGGGTCTTAAACACAGTTAACTCTCTGAAATAAAATCCATAACATTTTTTAATCTCTTTTCCTTAGTGCCGAGGTTGGGTCGTTCTTAAAAATTGACGAGAACCAGAATGAGGAGCTGGAGGAGAATCTCCTGTGTTTGACCAATCCCAGGAGCTCTTTGGCTGAGGAGACTCAGTATGTAGTTACTCTTCTTTTTTTTTTTTGGTTAATTGGATTTCAGTCAGCCAGGCTGCTTGTTGTTTGCATTACTAATGTTGTTTAATTTCCTTAACAGGATCAAACCTTCAGATTTTGACTACTTAAACATTATTGGGAAGGGGAGCTTTGGAAAGGTGGGCACAAACAACTTTCATATAGACAAGATGTCAACATTTATGTCATATTCTAAACTGAGAATGCTAACAGCATCTTATTTCACAGGTTCTGCTTGCAAGGTACAAGGAAAACGAACAATACTATGCTGTGAAGGTGCTGCAGAAGAAAATCATTCTGAAAAAGAAAGAGGTAAGACCTAATGCAATGTTCATACAGATGTGAAAGCACGTTGCCGCAACTGCAGAATATTAACAATCGCACTTAATATGTTTCTCAGCAAAAGCATATCATGGCGGAAAGGAGTGTATTAATGAAAAATATCAAACATCCGTTCCTGGTGGGGCTGCATTACTCTTTCCAAACCACAGACAAACTGTATTTCGTCCTAGACTACGTCAATGGAGGCGAGGTTAGTAAACAATGCATTAATGCAGTACTCTCATATAGCTCAAAAGAGGCCGCACCTCAGCTCAAAATAGCTGACTAACTTTATGTACTCCTGGTATGTTTTTTTTTTCCTGCAGCTGTTCTACCACCTCCAGCGTGAACGGGTGTTTCTGGAGCCCAGGGCGAGGTTTTATGCTGCTGAAATCGCTAGTGCACTCGGTTACCTCCACTCACTGCACATAGTTTACAGGTATGTGACTGGCTGCAGCGCCCCTAGTGGAGAAGCAGTTGAACTGTGTGCTAGATTCTGTTCATTATAATGGGCTCTTACCATTTTCTGTCAATTTTCACAGAGACTTAAAGCCAGAGAACATCCTCCTGGACTCTCAGGGCCACATTGTGTTGACAGATTTTGGTCTATGCAAAGAGGGACTGGAAGCCAATGGCACAACCACAACGTTCTGTGGAACTCCTGAGGTAAGGTATTCGAAAAAGATTGAGTGGATCAATAATGCACTCTAAAGTTCAGCTAATTGCATTTAATATGCATGTAAACTATAATATATTTTCATTGAATTGCAATTAGCATGCAATTAAAAACATCACATTTCGTTCACATATTTTTTAAAGTATTTTATTTGAATAAAAAGTACTCTTTTTAAAAGTATGCTAACACAAGATAGTTTGTGTAGTTTAGACAAGAACTTGTGTTTTAATTAGTGATTTGATATCAATTTTTTTTCTTTTTCAACAGTACTTGGCTCCTGAGGTGCTTCAGAAACAGGCATATGATCGTACAGTAGACTGGTGGTGCCTGGGATCAGTGCTGTTTGAGATGCTGTATGGACTGGTGAGAAGACCCATCAAGTCTTTTGCCTGAAAAATGACTAGATCAGCTGTTGCAAAGGATATATTTTGCATTTTGCGAACAATGTCAATTCATTTCTATGTCTCTGTTTTTCTAGCCTCCATTCTACAGTCGCAACACAGCCGAGATGTACAACAACATCCTTCACAAGCCTCTAATCCTGAAGCCTAACGTGTCCAATGCTGGCCGTGACCTGCTGGAGGGTTTGCTGCACAAGGACCGTACCAAGAGACTGGGGTCCAAAGATGATTTTGTAAGTCGACCCAACACACCAGTGCCACATGCATAAAGTTTATTTTCCTGAGATTGCAGATTCTTATACAAGCTTTTGCTTATTTGTAGCTGGAAATGAAGTTCCACAGCTTCTTCTCTCCCATCAACTGGGACGACCTTATGGCCAAAAAGTGTGTGCCTCCTTTCATTCCTACAGTGGTAAGTTAACTTCTTACCTGCACAGTCAAATGTTAATGTCAAATTAGAAGTACTAGTACATTTTTAAATGTTTTAAGAATATTTGTCGTGCTTAAAGGACACATATTTTGATGTGTAGACTAAGCACATGTAAAGTACTTTTAACTGTAGTGTGTTATTCAATACTACATTTAAAGTTAAAATATTTTAAATGAACTAAATTGCAACTTCACCATTACAAATGTGTAAATTTAAATGCATGACATGCAAGTTTCAACAGAAATGACATGAAAGCATATCTTAGTTTACCATAAATCATTCTCATTACAAGGTGGTAGCATTAAGATGAATATTTCTGATTGGGTATTTAATAAATTCTCTCTCTATTGAATCTACAGTCTGGTCCCACTGACCTCCGTCACTTTGACCCAGAGTTCACCCACTTACCCGTCTCGACCTCCCTATGCAACACTGATAACCTGCACGTGACCAGCAGCGTACGGGAGGCTGCCGGAGCATTCCCAGGCTTTTCTTATGGTCCCCCAGTTGGCCATGCCTTCCAGTAACGGCTTCCATGACCCTCCAAAACGTCCATTCCAGCATCACTAGATGCATCACGAAGAAGGACCACAGTGTGGGACACTTAGCTCTTCTGGTTTATTTGCATGCACGACCTGGCAGCACAAGGGACACTTGTGCATGACCAAGAGGAATGGGGGACATTGTAGGACACAAACTACAGTAACAACAACGTCCAAAAAAGATGCAATGTGTGCCAATGGATGCAGAGAGGACCTGAGCTCAGAAAGAGAGAGAGCTTAGAAGTGCCTGAGAGTTGAACTGATGATCTGTGGAAGAAAAGGCAAATTTATACAACAAACTATGGCTTGCCAGAGATGATGGTACCAGCTACTAGGCGAAACGCCTTTTGTGATCTTTTACATTTGATCAAAATGTCTTTGGATGATGTTTTATTTAATTGTATTTTTCATGCATCATTGCACAGTGGAGGTAAAGTATCAAGAATAGTACAAAATACACGGATGGTCCGTAAAAAGGAGTGATTATATCAACCCCTATCAATACAAGAGGATACACAGACTGTCCGACTCGAATATCAATACATGTTTAATGAATGCATTTATTATCTTCTTCCTATTGACAAATGTTAATTTAATAACTGCATTATTGATCATACTGCATTATATTAGTGTGGTTTAGCTTAGCTCTTCAGTCCTACTCAAAACTTCCCAAGCCATGTTTAGGTTTATATTAGAAGGAAAATGAGTTCTGCAAGCTTTCAGCTGTGATTATTTGTCTGAATGAGTAGAAGACATCCTGTGTTCCTCCTAAAATTAATATTTTGTCTTACAAGTACTTTCTTTCCTTTTTTTCTCCAATGCCAGCACTTTTACACAAAATGCCAGACACTGTGTTTCCTGGAAAGGCAATTTTAGTAGCCGCACATCACATTCTGTTATCATTCATTTAGTGAGATGGATGTATGTTTTATACATCCATTTATCATCGTTATCTGAAGCGATTGCTGTCCATTGCAAACACAGCATGTCGATTAGATTGTATTGAAACTTTTGCATCATGCACAGAAGTTTTGTAGTAGCCCAGAAGGAACTGTCTTTTCTGTTCAAAATGTGCCTGTACGGCTAATTTATGTACATTGTGGTACATTTCCATGTGTGTCTATCATTCCTGTCTGCATCACTCTGGGTTGGACAGGGTCATGGAATGCTGTGCAATAGAAATGGTGACTTGATAGAGATGCAAACAATTTGACATGAGTGGTATCAACTTAATGAAGGAGAGGGGTTTGGATGCCCTCATGATACGCATCCATGTTTTAATTGTAATATATTTCATATCATTGGACCAATAATGCGCTATATGTTGTTATTTAGATAACTGCAAACATGGCAATATGGATAAAGTTTATTTTCTTCCATTTTTGGAAGTTATTCATATATTGTTTTCTATTTTTCCATGTATATTTATTTACATGTCTAATGATCAGAGTATTAAATTCTTAGAATAATGAAATATTGAGAATGATCTATATGAATGCAAAATAAATATTTTATAATGAATCTATATGTCTTAGTATACTTATTCCTAACCTTTGCTGTGATGTTTAATTTGTTCGCATTGATTTTGTTTAATTGTTCACGTCAGCATCTCCTCAGCCCTACATAGGACAAATAGTTTGGAAAATGGATGGATGAGTGGAATCTTTTATACTGCATATACATAAAACATCTATCTAGTCAGAGATGTGGCAGAGGGTAGTGGGTTGTTGCTCATGGAGACCCTAGTTTGAGTCTTATTCCGATAAGGCAAAAAGGCAATATACATACAATAAATCAGGTGTTAGATCAAAACATAGCACATGATCTCCTCAGAATAACTAATGATTTGTTGATGTTGGTAGATTAAGGAAACTGTTCTATTTTAGTGCTTCTTAAGTGTGGCTTTTGACATAGTCATGAGATTCTTCTTGCCCACGTAAGTCAGTGGGAATTCAGAAGCTTGCATTAAAGTGATTCTCATCTTATTTAAAGGAGAGAAGATTTGCTG